TAACACTGTCATGAATAAAAACATTTCTTTGACTATACTTTATTATTATTAAAGTTAAATATAAATCGAATATGATATCAGACTTCAAGAAATAGTTGAACTCACTACTCTCAATATTTTTTCAAAAAATAAAACATACATGTCCTTATACTACAAGTACTCATATTGAAAGAACTATCATTTGAGAGTATAATGAATATTCTATTCTAGTTACAACATAATTCTGGATGGAATACAATATCATTACGTCATCGACAATCTTCAAAATCATCTGAAAAAATGTCTAGGTAATTTGAAAAAGTTTTTAATCTTAAACGAACGTTTGTTTTTTTTTTTTTAAATTTTATTTTAAGATTACCAAAAATAATTCGACAAAAACTATGTGAAATACTTGATCCACCAACTTCATTAGGAAATGATTGGCGTATGTTTGCAAGTAATTTACTTGGAATCACGTAAAGATCTTTATATATGAATAAAATATATTTTTATTATTATATTTCAAAATTTTCTTATTTAGTTATTTACAATATTTTGCTACAAAAACAAGTCCAACTGAACATTTATTAACATTATGGGATGCTCGACAAGAATCACTTGTTAATATGATTAATGTACTTAATCAAATAGGTCGTAGTGATGCTGCTTGTATTATTATAACACATATGAATATAAAACATTGATTGAATAATTAACACGGTGCAAAATATAAAAAGACAACAGCAATATTTTCTTCTTTTTAGTCTTGTGACGAGCTCTTTTGTCGGTATTTTTATATGTCTTTATCAATGTATTTATACATTTCGTTGTTTGCTTTTTCTTTTCTCTTTTTCAGTAATAAAAAAGAAACCATTATTAGGCATTATCTTCTTTTTTCTGCTTATAATAATAACAGAACTTATTGTTTATGAGATTATCAAAACATTCGCATTGATCGAAATGTAAAATTTAGCAAAAAAACATATTTGTATATTGTACAAAATAGAACGATGAGTTTCGTGCTAATTGAAAATCAATAGATATTGTATCAAAAGCTCATGAAAAGAAGAGGCAGAATAATGTTATTTTCCGGTCTTCTTGTGGGTTTAAAATTTTTGTACCGAAATCGAATTAAAGATGGTTTCTGTCCCAATGAAAATATTCATCTGAGTACGATGTCGTCTAATCCTGAATGTTTCGTGAGTACTCCTATATGGTGTTTGTGTATTCTAATGTTTTATGTAAAATACTCATAAGCCTATATTCTGTTTAGTATTGGCGTATATTATTTTATTTAGAAATAAAACTAAATAACAAAAGATACAGACATATATGATGAATATTTGAGAACTATAGCTATCATTTTATCTTTACATTATTTTAAAACAAACAATAGGTATAGAGAAATCTTCATCGTTAGAGAAGAATTATAAAATATTTCTTTATTTTTATATAATGAAAACAAGAAAATTCATTTTTAATAAAATATTTAATTGACAAACAATTGTGTAACTTCATGATATCTAATTTCGTATTATGAACAAACATTTCTACCCAACAATTCCATATCTGTTGTGTACTTTTTCTTTGATCTTTTAAAAATAAACAAAAATCTTATTTTCATGATACCAAAAGAAAGGTATATGTCTCACATTCTCCCTTAATGATGATGTCTTCATCTCTACCTCATAAAGTAAAAGCACAATAAAACACAGACTGAGCATAGCCAAATAAAGAAAAATGAAAAACAAATTATTCAATAAATATGCGGTGTTGATTACTGCACAAAAAAAAAATCAAATAGACATTTTTTTTTCATTCATAACTATTTGCAGGTCTTTTGATAATGTATAAAAAAAAACACAAAAAATAAAATTATCTGTCTAAAATGAGTTCGCAACAAAGAATAGAAGACAAACTAAATAAGTCGTTAAAATAGTTTATTCATATTGTCCATTATCTTATATCATTTTTCTTTATTACATAACTGCAATCTGTTTAAGTATTTTCACTAGAGTATATATAAATTTTTCTATCGTTTTTATTCTCTATTACTTTCTTTGACATAAAAATTGAAATTTTTTATTATTTTTCTAAGCATACAAAGAAAATTTATTTTTAGGTTCAAACTTTTACTGTCGCATATCAGGATGATATTTTATCTTATAGAAATGGGAATGAAGATGATAAACATTCATATCAAGCTAAATGATTTATAGTTTCGTCATTTCGTAAAATATTACCAATGATTTCACTCGATAAATTATTATTATCTTGGGTGTGGATGTGGGTCTTACATGAACTAGTCTAATTAACTCAGATCGAACCGGATTGGTCGGTCTAAAACCCGTACCGTTACTGATTGCATCTCTGTAGTCGGTCAATTAGTTAAATGGTAGGCACTTTGAAGGTGAAAGGCGATTGCATTCACCCATTCTTTTTAATATAATTAGACTGTTTTAAGCTCAACAGTTATTTCTAATAGGGCCAGGAAAAAGATAGGATATACTAGGTAGCCAACGGGCCTACGAAAATTGTTCGAACGAAAAATAGTCGAAAAATTCTTAATAAAAAAAAAAAAAGAAACAGAATCTTTCAACAAAAGCGACAACAGTGTGAAAAATCAATTAATATTAGTATATAAGCTGTTGCTGATACTTTTAAAATATTTGTTGTAGTAGCCTGTGCATGCAAAGTGGATTCCAGCTTCCCTCCAGAACACTTGATTTTAAGCAGGAGAAAAAATGAAAATAGAAAACGGGTGTGGATGTTGGGATGGTCCCTCTTGAACTCCATCGCATACCTGGATTTACATCGGTTCTGACACTCACACCTATACCTGCACCTACACCCATATTCTCATCTACACCCGCACCAACGCTGACAATCATACCACACTCTCAAAAACGTTTTTTCCCAGTTTCACAGAGCTATCAGAATTAATTTCGATACAATTTCATGAAAATAAATGAATCTAACAATTTTAATTTTAAAAAGTAATTCTAGTTCATATGCTGCATGTATTAGAATAAAAGTTCCATTATGATGATGGACATTCTACTAATGACATCGTTTCTTTTCCTCTTGTAATGCTTTTACTGATTCATCACATTGGAAGCTTTTATTTTTTTCATTAAGAATTTTTCGATTATTTTTCGTGTCAATCAATTTTCTTAGTGATTAATTTTCGTATCGATCAATTTTCGCTTTCCCGTAGCCGACCAGTCTAGACCGGCCGATTACTGATATCGGTTTCTTCGAAGGCGTGGGCGTAGTTTTAAGCTGTGGGTTAAGAGAATATCTACACTCACACTCTGAATATGATCATCATACGGCAGTTACTAATTTATTTATAAATATAGTTGATGAAAAAAATTCATTAAATCAAACAAATAAATCTCAAAAAAATTATTTGATTATATTTGAAACTTCATAAATAAAAAAAAATGAAGAAAATACTCAATGGATTTTGAATTAATTAATAATAATGATGATAAGAAAAAACTAAAATCTAATGCAAAAATTCTTCATAGTAAAATTGTAGACCTCTTTTGTATGATACTCACAAAGAAATATTTACAAGTGCCAATTTACTCATCATTCGGTAAGATCTCACTTTTGTAGAACCACCGTATTTTCGAATTTCGATCTGAAGCTTTACCCAGCTAAAGATCTCAACTGTACAAGCTTGAATAAAAAATTTTAGAACTTTTGAACCGAATCTTTTCAAGACATGAAATTTTCAAAGTAAAAGCCTTTTTCCATAGATAATTTATACAAGATTTATTTTTGAAAGTCTTATATTTCTGAAAGACTCGATACAAAAATTCTGAAATTCTCTATACAAGCTCGTTTCGTTGAGATCTTTAGCATTTGATATCTCTTCAGAAACAGACTATCAATACGAACTATTTGTTTGTTTGGCAGATATACAAGGGAAGATGTGGGTATGGGTACTGTTCTTTCTTTCGTTTACAACCACATTCCACTCTTCAGCTTTCTTTCTTGTTTCTATCAAAAGTTATTCCCAATCGAAAACTTCTCGGAGACTTTTGAGCCATACTGTGTACTACATGCACTTTTTGAAAGCTTCGTATCTCGAAGAGACTTTTTTCAAAACTTGTGAATTTTTTTTTAAAGACGTTACTCTAGTTGAGTTCTCTATATGGACAAAGTTGAAGATCACAATTCAAAAATACAAGTCTTCCGAAAACTTGAAACTTTTAGAAAAAAAATTTGATAACTTAGTCCAATCTCAGAAATCTTTTTAGAGTTTTTATTAGAACACTATGTGGTATTTATAGGCAAAAAAAACCATTGAAATCAGCAGGAGACATGTGAGAAGGTTTCCTCATTAAATTCATTGTTGAAAAAATTCATAGACGTAAAGTTTTTCATTTTGATATTTCTTTACATATCTATATCGAAGTTTCTCATCATTATAAATTTTACTTTCTAGAATATACTTGAAAAATATTGTAATTCATTGTAGTTTATAATCTTCATTTTATGCTGGAACTTTAATGTAGAACGAATTCATCGCAATACATTCATAACCGACACAAAAAAAAAATAAACAGTTTATGAATAAATATTTAACAATCTATAATAAACTTGAAAATGTATTGACAAAAATTAATTGTATGTTTTAGATTAATTACTAGAAAAGTTCTGTATTATATATCATAATCTTGAATTATTTCGTTTAAAAAATTTCGCTTAAACTTTTTAAAAATTTCTCAAAAAAAAAATGTAATAAGTATTAATTTTGTTTTTATATATGTGCTTTATCTTTTGTTTATTCAGATATACTTGACTGACGTTGCTGTTAATATATTGTATTGCTTATACTTGTATAATGTGATATAAAATATTTCGTCATCAGTACACTCAAGATATTCTTTTATCTGATCACCTACAGCACGTATGATGCAGAAATGAAACGAAGGTTTATATTAGTATCTTTCAAAATGACACTAACACGAAAAGGGACAAAATATTATTCGTAAGATAATAGATTGATGCATTTTTTGTCGAAATTTCCCCGCTTTTCAATTTCAAATGTTCGTCTTTTTAGTTCCATTCGACAGTACGTATGACTAATAATTTTCTAAAAATATGCATTAAATTCTTCCTAGGAAACATTCTTTGGACGGATCTGAATCAGGTTATCATCATGTTGTATCCAATTATCAAATACACACAAACTGTTATATCAATTTTATCCTTTTCTTTCATTTGCATGATTGTGAACTGGCTAACGTTGTAATTCAAATATATTTTTGAAGTTAAAGAAAAATGAACATAACTAACTTATAGTATCAATCATTAAAAGTAATATTCAAGCTACTCAGAGTGTGGGTGTGGGTGAGCGATAAAATACACCGACACCCACATTCTCATACAGTATGGAGGAAAAGTTGTACTTCGCATAGAGTGTTAGATACCAAGCATAATAAGTATCAAAAAGCCACTAATGAATAATGACTATCGTGCTACATTTGTACAGAAGAAAAAGGCTTTGTACCATGTAGCAGATCTTGTTTCACATCAGCACGGTACGGCACTGATATTCTTTGATTGAGGGCGTGGGTTAGAGCGCGTCGGATCCAAAAATTTTCTGAAGTCTTTATTGCTAAAGTCTCTTGAAGTCTTGAAGTTCGCTGTTTCTTCCTCGGTTAAATATCAAAAGAAAACTGAGACTATACGTGTAGTTTTTGTTCTCATCGAACAGACGATTTGTCAAGTATTTTTTTTTGATAGATTGGTTTGTATTGAAATACAAAGTTCTTGCATTAAATCTTGGCGTATTATTATTAGTAGTAATATGCGAGTTGGTCGACTGCTGACTATTAATAGCAGTTATATAATCATTTACGATTGTGTGTGGATGTGCGTGTATATATAGATGTAACTGAATATCACATCCCACACCTATATCCTCACTCACACCCACACTTCTCACAACAGCTGTCGTCTCAGACAATACCGTAAAAGTATCAACCGAGTAGACCGAAAAATCAAGTTGAAAAGACATTTTTAGTGTTGCTCCGAATTAGTCTTTCATCATAATAAATGGAAGGGAAAATTTTAAACTATGTTAGAATGTTTCATTTTCCAGACTGCTTTTTCAAACAAAAAACTAGACCGATCTGATTTACAAGTATTGAAAGACGAATCTCAGCAATATTCTAGTGCACTTTGTGTTTGTCGATAGCGAATTTTAATTGTGAGATACAGCAGTAAACAGAATGCATTCAAAACACAGGAATTAAGGTACACATTAAAAAAATCTCATCTCATCGGTAATCATTATTTAATAATAGGGTGTGAGTGGATGTGGGTGTGAGTCTTTTCTTCAGCAAGCACACACTAGTACACCTACACTCACACCCATCTCCACAGCTACACCCACACTGCACACCCGCACCTGCCTCCCATATCCACCCACATCCAACGCTCACACACCCGCACCCATTCCCTACACTGACACCCCAAACCCACGCCTGCACCCCATATACGCCCACATCCGACATTCACATCCAGACACCTACACCCTGCCGCAGAGGATGGTGGGTCTTTTTCTTAGACATCGTCCCATCTTTTGACAAAGCGTTGATGACTACCGTGCAACGTTATTCACATCCTTAAAGTCGGATGAAAGTTTTAAAAGTTTATTTCTTCGAAGAAAAAGAATTTGTTCTTTATTCTCTTTCTGCTGCGGCCAAGGCTTTCTCCATCGCTTCAATGCTTCGACGCAAATTAGCTCTCTTCTGCTCTAATAACGGTGATTCCTTCATATACTTCAGCAATTCCGCAGGAGAAAATGCCGTATTCAACTTCCCATCAAGGATCAGTGCACCATTGCGAATGAACCAGTACTCGCAAAGTTGAGACAGATGATCGACAATGCGAGCGTGAACAATTGAACAGTAGGCTCGAAGGCCAATCGAAACATCATGAAGCGTCAGGTCATTGCTCGATGTGTCTACAAACAGAATAGTACGGGAAATTTTGAATTCATACCTTAATGGAGATTTGACTAACTTTCTTTTTCTTTCAAATTCTTGAAGATCGCCAAGTAGTACGGATTGATCGTGAAGACCTTCTCTTCCATTTCCAACATCTGCTCGATGTTTTCCATGCACTTTTCTTTACTGTTTGCTATAATACTCTTGATTATTTTATTCAACTCACGGGACAGAGGCTCTTTGTAGTTGGCCTCTGCAGGTAAAATTGTGCGCAAAATGTAAACAAGACAATTGATCATGTAATCTTCGACCCAAAGAACCAGATCTTTGCACGGCTTTTCAAGCTTTTTATGGTACGGCTGATACAGCTGTTGAATAATATTTGATGATGGAAAGTTCGGTAAACCACCGCCATAATTTTCCTCGATTGATTGTAGTACTTGAGCTCTCTGATCTTGTGAAGATAATCCCGACAAAATCTGTTGGATCTCATCCGAAGTGCTTTTTCCGATCATCTTGAGATGATAGGCGATTCGATCGTCCCATTTATCACGCGCTTGCGGATTGAACGCCTCCATCTTTTTTTCAGATTTGATTTCATAGTCACCTTTCGCACGTTGTTCAACAGCTCTGCGATAGTTTCGGAGAATTTCATTGAAAGCAATTCTAGTGTCCGTTTCTGTTAAAATTGCTGCTGGGATTTGTTTAAGTTCTGCTCGCATCGCTTGAAGTTTTGCTTTGAGCGTTTCGATCACGTGTGGCAACGTACATCGAATCCTATCTTGTTGAATTGAAACTAATTTTTTGATTAATTCTTGCCTACCCAAGTATTCTTTAGGTACATCAGCGAAAGCTGGATTGGTTTGAAAGAATTCTTCTTCACGTCGTCTCATTTCTTCAAACGGAACTTTTGCATCAATTTCCTCTTGTTTCCGATTGAGAACAGCAACGCAACCCAACGGAAGAAATAGCGATCCAGATCCGATTCCTTGCAATTTCTCTGCAATGCCTTTGTCATGTTTGTCGATTTTCGATACGGCGATGATTTGTCGTTCATCTAAAAAAATCAATTAGTAAAGATCCGATTTCATGGAATAAAATTCTCATACATCTCGGATCGTATCGTTGACAAATTTTGATCGATTCTGATGTGGTGAAATCGACCGATGATGGAATAACGTGTAAAACAACCACTGATTCAAACTTGACACAGTCTTCGATTAGTGAAACGATATCTCGATAAATCGTTGGTGACTGACCCTCCACGTGAGTCCGAGTGATTCCTAGAATAATTCAACAAAACTCAATTTTCTTTTATTGTCAATCAACAGAACTCTGACCTGGTAAATCAATCAATGTTAAATCGTCTTGAATCTCTCGTTTATAAACCGTGAGAAAAATAGGCGATGCTGAAATATTGGTCAAGTTGCCAGTCAAAAAGTTCGTGCATTCGATCACTCTTGTAGTAATCTCCGAGAGATCGTTGATAATCACTTCGTCAATTCCAGCGCATCGAATCGTGGCGTAGTCCTTCGTATCAGGCGGAGCGCGTTTCATACGCAATTCTAGTGGACAGCGTGTGCAAATATTCTGTGCTCGTGGCAGTTCAACACCGCTGATAGCCTCGAGTATCGACGATTTTCCTACCTAAACGAAAGATTTGAGTGTTGATCTAAAATACGAACCAATCGGATCTACCGATTGATCGCCAACAACAACGATTTGTGGAAGTGAAATCTTTTCCATCTGTAAGATCTCTCGCATTGTGTCGACTTTCTTTAGTAGTTGACGACAGTCTTCGGTGTTAATTTCCTTGTTGATCATAGCAATTGGATTGTAATTATTCACTGATGATGATGAATTCGATAAAGAACTTGCTGCATCATTTTTTGATGTGACATCCGATAAGTTATGCTGTTGAACATTTCTTCTTCTCGACATTATTTCTCGCTCACGAGGATCACTGACTAATCGAATATTTACTTGCAATAATGACCAAAAACACTGGCTCGTCTCTGAAAAACGATTCTTCTTTAATGATTCTTATTTCTCCAGAGGCGTCAATTTATAGCGTCGTCTAGTGTGGGTGAGGGTGTGAGGGTGAGTTTGTAAAGAACCGATTCAAAGCATCATAAGGCATGTTTCGAACTTTGCTCCAGGGTTCATCATCAGGTATGTTTTGAATCATCGAGTGTTATATAGTCATTCAAAAGAACACTTTGGATTGAAACGAAAATGATTCATTATGGAGGTCAAAGAAGACGTCCAACATAAATAAAATTTCAAATCAATAAGCATTTAACTATTGGAATATAATTTCGTAGCCAACACACACAAGAGGAGGCTACACTCTCAAGACGCGACTACATCCTCACAGAGATCTATAGTTCTAGATGAGTTTGCACGGATACCGATCAAATACTCAGAAACCTTCAAAATATCCTCATTTTTCATACTGACAAATCATTCATTTTCTTCATTTTCTTCCTCAAATTTCTTCAAAGACAAAGTCGATTTTTCTCAAAAATTTTCAGTTTCGAACCAGAAAATATTGTCGACAGCTCAATCAGTCTCAACATTTCGCGTTCACCCGCACCTTCTACTCGTACGATACTTTCGATCAGTTCTTTGCAAACTCAACTCATAGTTTGTGTTAGCTACAAAATTACCTTCGAATGTTTTAACCCTTATTGATTTGAAATTTTAGTCGTCTTACAATGGAACCGTCTGTATTGTTAATCGAGTTGATCGACCATGTTCGGATCAAATGAAAGGTCTCACCGCCAAACTGACAAATTTAAAATATTACGTCCCCATAGCGTACCTAGAGCAAGTTACATAAATTTCAAGGTATGTGAAATTTAGGTATAAAAATGAATTAGTAAAGGCTTTCTCCACAATTGTAAGGACAAAACATGCTGTTGTTCGGGTAAATCAGGGGCTTGGAGGAGCTCTCTTTCATATGGCCCGAACAACAGCATGTTTTGTCCTTACAATAGCGGAGAAAGCCTTTACTGATTCATTTTTATACCTAAATTTCACATACCTTGAAATTTATGTAACTTGCTCTAGGTACGCTATGGGGACGTAATATTTTAAATTTGTTAGTTTGGCGGTGAGACCTTTCATTTGACCCGAACATGGTCGATCAACTCGATTAACAATACAGACGGTTTCATTGTTAGATGTCTTCTTTGACCTCTATAATGAATCGTTTTCGTTTCAATCCAAGCTATTCTTTTGAATGACCATGTAAAACTCGACGATTTAAAACATATCTGATGATGAATCTCTGAGCAAGGTTCGAAACATGCC